TGTTGGACAGCTCCAGGGGACACAGCCTCCTGTAGGGCTCAGCTCTATCCTCTCAGGTTTTTCAAGACATTCGTTAGAATCGGACACCCTCCCCTCCTCCAAAAGAAAACATACTCCTCATTTGTGTAGACTTTTCTTTATGGACAAGGTGTCCCCCTGCCACACAGGCTGGAGTGCAGTGATCTGGGCACAGCTCACTGCAGCCTCAAACTCCTGGGTATAAGTGATCCTCCTGCTTCAGCCTCCCAAGTAGCCACCACACTCAGCTCATTGTTGACATTTAAAGGAAGCTTCTCCAGCTCTCCGTGGCTAAACTCCCTTCTCCCAACAATTCTTCTGGCCAGGTTCCTGGCCCCTCACTCCCTCAAGGAACCCTTGCTGACTTGAACAAGTTGGCATTTCAAACCGTATCTTCCTCCTCCTTCCAGGCCATAAGCTTCTTGCATAAAGCATCCTTTGGGACGGTCCTTTGGGACCACGCCAGCTCTATGCATGCAAGTGTACTTAAACACAGACTAATGAATAGCTTTTCTTTCTTCACACTCCCTCCCCCAAATACAGAGCACACGCCTCTCCTGTCAGGTTGATATGGCAAGCAAATTACTAAAAAATGTTGACAATGAGTGCTTATTCAATTTTATTACTTTTACCTGCTTTTGCTGAGTCAAAGCAGGTGGTAAACAGTCTTGCCTGACCACTATCAAGCACAGAAAAAAGGATGACATTTCCCTGCCTGTGGGAATGAAAGCTAAATCCACAAGCAGACCCCGGGGGCCGCCTGGGGGTAAGTGAGGACTGAGTGACATGCAGGTTCACCTTAGAAGCCCTGGGCTGGCAGTTGTTCCTGCTCAAATTCTTTCTTTTCTATCAGTCCTTCCCACCACCCTCATGTTACCAGTAAAGGAAAACAGACAGTACAAAGCAAGAGGAGCTATCAGAGTCACGGAGTAGGTCAGGGCACTTCAAGTTCATAGAATCTTTACACGAAAGGATTATTTTAGAGCTCATCTACCCACTCATATTGCAGCAGAAAGAATTGAAGCTCTAGGGGATAAATGACTTATTCAAGGTCACAGTGAGCCAAGCTGAGATTTCCAGATCCTAACCAGCATTAAATTTCTAAGCTGCATTTTAGCATTCAACTTTTCCTCATTTTGCCTATTAAATCCTCCAAGGCTTAGTTCAGGTTCTTTCTGGTCCAGAAAGTGTCCCCATCTTCTTCAAGTCTACAGAAATGCCTTCCTTCCCTGATGCTACAGAATGTATCATCTCCATCACTCATTGGCACCAATGAATAAAATGCCCTTTGATATCCAAAAGTCACAAAACTTTGAGCTGGAAGGGTCATTGGATGTCATTTAATTCATGTTTCACTTTCAAACTTACATAGGTCAGTTCACCAAGGTAGCTCAAGTTCCTTTGGAGAAAAGTTCTTGTCTAACAATCCTGATGATTGTTATCCCTCTCTATTCAGCACCATAACCTGCATAAACTTCATATTTGGTTCAGAATGACAGTTTAGCAACCTACAAGAATGTAGGTGTCTGGCAGACCAGGATTCCAGTTCCAGGTCTGCCATTTATTCCCGGTATGACTTTGGATTAGGTGTTTGACCTCTCTAAAATTACTTCATCTGACAAATGGGAGTAACAGTAGAGCCCACTCCATACATGTTATGTGAATTAATAATACAAGGCAGGAAGAAAGCTCTTAGCATCACATTAAGGATTCAATAACTATTTGCTATTCTTCGATCACTTTCAGGGAGATTCACTTTGTCAATGTCATTGACTTATAATCAGATCCTAAAGAAGAGTCCCAGGCAAACAAACTTTGGAGATAAGCTCACATCTGAAGGAAACTTTCATCTACTTAAGGTAGGCTGAAATTTCATAGGGAGACTAGAAATAAAAAAGGAAAGGATCTGAAAAAAAAAAAAAAAAAAGAGAGACTTGCTTCCAGAATGGGCATTATCAATAATAGTTGCTAACTGAAACAAAAGAGGCAGAATGGAGGGAGGCAGCGTTAAGTGTGAAGGTGCCCTTGGTGCATGCAGATGGGAGACAGTATGTGCAAAATTACCTTGAGGTCCCCCACTTGAGTTTGAGTAAACAGAATTCTCCCTTTTGTTTGTCCCCCTTTAATACCAGGGATGGTTTACCCCCACTAATTCTGGTCCCAGGACCCAAAGTGACCAGAGGGCTTTGGTGGACACCATCACCCCCTAGTGGTGGCTTCACACTCCCCACTATTGGCAGAATTTGGCATTTACCAACTTTGCAGGCCCAGCTGTGGCACTGGCCACGTCCGAATCCCCTGAACTGACAAGCTGATAGTGAAAGCTGCCCAACTCGCCAGAGACAAACGGTAGGCAGGATGTTTAAAAGTCTGGGGATGGGATGGGGCTGCCTTGGGACACTAGAAAGAGATGGCCATAAATGACTCATAGTATCAACCCCAACCCCACCCCTCCCACCACCCCCACCCCTCCCACCACCCCCACCTCACCCCTCCCACTCCCCAACCCCCAGCCGCCACCAACTCTCATTTCCGGCCAGCTAGGCCCTCCCAGAGCTCATTGTGCACTCCGTGTTTACACACAAACAGTCGAAGACCAACACAAATAAAAATCCCACGTCTCCCTACACAGCTCCTGCTATACCCAGCCATCTGGTGACTACCTCGCTAGCCAAATCCCCGTTGGGAGCGCCTAAAGCTGCCAACCCAGGGCGCTAGGGGGAAAAGGAGGAGGCAAGAACCCAATCCCCCGCAAGCATCCAAAGGGCTCAGCGCTGCCAAGGAGGCCAGCCCCGTGGTCTCCAAGGAGCAGAGGGTCCCAAGCTGCCAGACTCAGGGGCCGTGCATCAGAGGAGGGGGAAGGCTCCATGTGCAGGTTGTTGCCAGGAGACTCTCAAGCAACACATGGGTCCTGGGGGAATCAAGACTTCTAGTTCCTCACTCAGCTCCTCACTCAGCTTGTCCCAGGCTCACAGGCACCCATCCTGTTCGAAAGCCAAAGTTAAAAATGGCAAAGATTGTCAGTTCCAGGAATCCCGGGGCACCTATATAGGTGGCTGGATCAGGTCCTCCATATCCTCGAAGACTTGAAATGCTCTGTGGTCCTCACTGCCAAGTCAGGCCATACCCAAGGATCGTCTCATCCCTTCACTTGAATGGCCGTTTGGGGAGCGGGAGGATTTCTACCCCTCATCTCTCAGAGTACCCCGGAGTAGAGAGATCTAAAGGATGAAGGGAGAAGGGCAGGATTGGAAGTGGTAGTGAAGGGATACCTTCTGTGTCTCCAGAAAGACCCTTCCCCAAAGGGAGGTGGCAAGAGCCAGCGGTGAGCCTGAGGTTTGTCCGGCGGCTCTCTGAGGAACACCACCTCCACCCTCCTTCCCTTTCTCGGACCTGGGCAGCCCCACGGGTTCACGTGGGAAGAGTTACTGGTCTGTGTGTGTCCGCTCGCGTGTATGCGTGTGTGTGTCTGTGTGTTTGGTGCGTCGCACCCCAGACGCGCCGCCGCGGGGAGTCCCCGGGGACCCTCCCGGAACGCTCGGCATGCTCAGGTTACAGCCTGCGAGGGCGGGTACAGGGGCCCGAACCCCTAGGTTCAAGCTCAGCAGGTGAACCACTGGCACTCGCTCAAATCCCCAGAGGTGGTAGCATGAAAGGATGGGGAGTGGGTCACAAAAATACTTTTAACAGTATCAGGGCTACCAGGAGAGCGGAGCCTAGTCCGCTGATTATTCTGTGGGTCTTTTCAGGCGAGCAAGGAGTTAACCTCGGAAGTTCAGGGATCGTAAAGGTTCTCACCTGGAAGGCCCGTCACCCTGCAGTGCCCGACGCGGATCCCGCCGAGGCACAGACCCGGGGAAGAAGAGCTCGGGGTCTGGGCGAGCCCCTGGTGCCTCACGGGCGCTGTTGTTGGCCAGACTCCGACAACCAATAAGGCCCCGCGCCCCCAAGAGGGGAGGGGAGAGCGAGCAGGCAGCGAGCGCGGAAGAGCTAAGGGGAACAACATTTTTGTAAACGCTCTCCGAGATAATTAAGCTATCAATTACCCGGGTGGGAAATCAGCCGCGCTTCCCACAGCTCCACTGAAGGGCCGACTCCTCCGGGATTCGCGCAGGGAACCAGCAGGCAGCAAGCTGCTGGCGAACTTTTCTGATTAACTTTTCCGTTGGAGCCCCCCCACCCACACCCGTCTCCTCTCCTCTCCCTTTTCTTGCCTTTAAGTTATTATTATTAACCCAGGGAGTGAGCTGCAAGGACAAACCTGCTCTCTGCCTGGAGGTGGGTAGAAAGGGAAGGCGATAACGCTGGTAGAGGGAGGCTCTAAACGTGGAGACCTCGGACTCGGAATCCCAGTTCTCAGAAACCACTCAAGTCTCTCCAGCCCCATTTCACAGATGGCCAAAACTGAGGCCCAGAAAAGGGAAGCGACTTGTCCAAGGTCACTCAGCCCATGCGGAAGCCACGCTTTTGCGGGTTGAGCGATTCCACATGGAGCTACTCCTTTCCGACTCTCGAAAAATCCATGTGGAAGGGCAGAACCCGCAACTCCGAGGCGAGAGCGAGGGGGCGGTGACGGCAGGTGGCCAGTGGCCTTGCCGGGAGGAGAAGTGGGCGGCTCGACCCGAAACTGGCTTAGGATCTGGGATGCCCCGGCCCCTAGCCAGAGCACCTTCAGCGAATGGGGTCTCCGGCGTCCGGGGTGGATCAGGCAGAGCTCAAGGTCCGGACTGAGAGGCAGAGGGGCAGGTTCCCACCGCGGGAGGGTTGGCACGCCCCTAGGCTCCGGCCGCGCGCTCTCCAGGACCTCCTCCCCCACGCTCCTTTCCAACCACCTGTGCGACCTCCGGGCCCCTCCTCTACCCTCTGCCAACCCCACTCGGGGCAGCCCCGGGCGGGGATCCCCAGGGCGCCCCCACCCGCCCGGCCTCAAGCAGGGGCTCGGGGTTCCTTGGGATCCAGCGCGTGCCGGCGCCTAGCCTTACCCAGGGTGAAGAAGGGCAGCTCGGTGTTGTCCAGATCGTCCTGCACCGCGATGCGCCCCGGCAGCTCGTTACGCACAAAGAGCAGGAGGCGCGACTCCGCGGCGGTGCCGGCAGAGCCAGGAGAGCCCGGCGACGCGGCGGCGGCGGCTCCGGCCCCGGTCCCAGACCCGGCCCCGGCGCGGGCGCCGCTCCAGCCGATGTCGCTCTCCCGCAGGGCGGGCAGTGTGGACACCGTGACCGTCTTCAGCCGGCACGGGCTGTCGGGCTCCCGCGAGGCAGCGGCGGTGGCGCCGGCCAGCAGCGGCGGCGGCGGCAGCAGGAGCAGGAACAGCAGCAGCAGCGGCGGCAGTGGCGGCGGCCCGGGGTGGAAGCGGAGTCTCGGCCGCCCCCGGAGCCCCGAGCCGGGGCCGGGGCTGAGCCGGGCGCCGGCGGCGGCCATGGCGGGAGGGGCTGCGGTGCTGCGGGTGGCGGCGGTGGTGGCGAAGGAGAAAGAGGAGGCAGCGGCGGAGACGGCGGACGCCGAAGCGAACCAGGACGCCCGAGCTAAGGAGCGGAGAGAGCCGCTCGCCAGCAGCCCCCAGCTCCGGGCTCCGCCTCCCGATCGGCCCTGGACCGCCCCCCCGCGCCGCCTCCCCGGGCCCCGCCGCCCGTCCCCGGTCTCCGGCTCCCCCCGCAGACCCCGAGCGTTTCGGAGGCTCCGCCCGGCCTCGTGCAAGTCCCAGTGGCTCCCTCCCCTTTCCCAGGATCCCCCAATCCCGCCTTCACAGCATTATTTAGCCACAACGCCCCTCCCTAAACTCCCCAAATTCATAATACTTAGGGCCCCCTCAGGTCCCCCCAAAGCCCCCTGACTCAACCCAGCTCTCCCGGCTTCACCCCACCTTCGGCTCAACCCAGAGGCTGCACCTGCGGGCGCGCCTTGGCCCAGCCTTGCTCAAGGCCCCGCCTTCTTGGGGATAGGGAGCCCCCGGGATGGCCAAGACTTAACTTTGTCTCCCCTTAGGCCCAAGAACAAGTCCTGTCTCCAATCTCCTACCCTTTTCTAGTCTCTGAAATAACTTCCTGTGGCCTCAGGGCCCCCTTCCCACCCACTTGGCCACAACTCCCGCATTCATTCCCCCACTGCCCTCACCCTTCCTCTCCCTTCCTTCCAGGCCTTGGTGCTAGCACTAATTGCTAATGGCCAGAAGGGCGTCGAACTCCACCGTCTAACGCCGACCCCCAACTGACTGAAGCCGGGCTGTTCTGGCCCCCTAGCTGCCGCCCTGTAAGTCAGCCCACTCACGCTCTTTTATTTTGGATCCCTGCTCCCAGCTTCTTGGCTGCTTCTGCTCTCTGTGTGAAATTCCTGAAAAGGGTGTGAGGTAGAGACCTACTATTCTGTCTGTCCTTGGCTCCCGGGGCTTTTAGATCCTCTGCCCAAGTCCTAGAGAACTGGAGTGCTCACCAATTCTTCACCAGCAGTCTTTCTAGACTCAAGTTGAGCTAGGTCCTCAGACACAGCACCCTTTGGTCTTGGGCTGACTCTGTCTCTGACCCACACACCTGAGGCCTTCCAGGGAGCGGACACCTCTGCAGGGGTCAAGTGCCCGTGCACCCCCTTCCCCCCTCCCCTGCTTTTCTTTATCTTCCCTGTCTCTGTTTTCTGTTTCATCTCTCCATTCATTTCCTTCCTCCTCATCTTGACTTTAATCTTATAAATACTTCTTCCCTATAATTTGTGAGCCATTTCTCATCTCTGTCTAGCTTACCCATCGGCACCTTTTGTGCTCTCTCTCTGCATTCACTTTTCTCTTAGCTCTTCCCTCTTCTGTCTCTTCCCCCTTTCTATCTTTAACCCTTCATATAAATTGCTTTTCTCCTCTCTCATCACATTTTTTTAATGATGTTGGATAAAGGCAGAGCACTGAAAATAAGGAAAAAAGCAAAAGCTGTTCTGTGACCTTGGACTTAATAATAGTGTTTTTAAAGCATTCTCCAACTGCTAGACATGTACATATGTTAGCTTTTCTACATGACCACAATCCAACAAGATGGATATTTTGATTCCCATTTTCCATATGAGGAAACTGAGATCAGGTGGTCAGGGAGGTGAAGGGATTTTCCAAGGTCATATAGCTAATGAGCTGAAGAGCTGAAATTTGAACAATAGACTTCAAGCCTTGACTATTTCCCTTAAAGTACACTATCCTCAGTGACCTTGGAAAACCCCACCCATCAAAGATGCTGTAACAGGTAAATCGGCATGAATACAGTTGGATCTACTTCCTTGCATGGTTTGTAAGGTATACTTCTCCCGTCTCAGTTTACTAATCTGTAAACCCAGAGGGTGTGTGGAGGTGGGGGTGGAATCTGGCCTTTCAAGTCCTCTGATTCTAAACGGTCTCCTGCCTCTCTGATGCCTGCCTGAGTTCATTTACTCCTCCAAAATAATGTCACCCTGCCTCCCTCAGTCTCTCCTTTGTGTACTTACAATCCGCCACTATCCATCGCAATGGGGCTTTCTGATTCTCTATGCCCCTTTCTTCAAATATGCTGACATAGTCCATTTATAGAAGAGCAACCAGGAAAAAAGGGCTCCCTTATGTAAGGCAGAGTCTGTACAAGTCCTTCATGGACCTCTGGTACAAAGGCCTGTCAAACGAGACCAACATTTTCATTCATTCATTCATTCATCCCCAAATATTCAGGGTGCCTACCAGGTGCTATATGGAGATGCAGGGATGGATAAACACAACTCCTGCCTTTGCAAAGCTTATAATGATTGGGGTGAGGGGGTGGGATGCTGGAATGAAACAGGCACATAAATATCTCAGGTAACAGGCAGGCAGGCAGACATGTGTTTCACTAAGATGAGGTACTTGGAGAAATCAAAGAAAGCTTCCCAGAGGCGGTGGCTTGGAGTTGAACCATAAAGATTAGTAGCAAGGGAGTGGGCATTGTAGGTTAAAGTTGGCATTTGGCATTCTTTGCAACTGCTTAGTAAACGAATAAATCCCTTTCCTACATCAGAGGATGTTTTATCTTTTAAAGCACAGCCCACCTCCCATGAAGAACATTTCTGGATACTTTCTCAGCCTCCACTGCAGCTAGGGCTTGGGCACATGACCCGGGCTTCACCAATTAGATTCACCCACCCCAGATGCTGGAAGATAAGCCAGAATCAGGCAGAATCCATTGGCAGCCAAAAGGGCAATAGTTGGGGCAATTACATCCAGGTGTCTCTGCTAGCCAAAAGGTTCTAACAGCACTATTTGGAGCCCAGTGACGTCTATGTCAACAGTGTGAAGTGCCCTATTTATGCTTGGCTGCGGCTGAAACAATATCTTCACCAATCCAGTTCTGTGCTATGATTTGGAGTAGTGCTCTTGACTTCATGCAGTTTAAACCCAGATCCCATGCCTTTCTGGGTATTCTAAGGAATCTAATAATCACTTAACTGGATTCTGAATTCTCTTTCTGCTTAAATTATTCAGGATTGGTTTCTGTTGCTTGCAACTGAAACACCTGGCTGAGAACACGGACTATGGAAACAAAGGGAGGGCAGAGAAAGCAAGGTGTATTATGGGAAATTAAGCTCAGTGAGGGGGAAAGGGAGTAACTGAAGACAACACAGAAAAGGCAGGCAAGGAGTACCAACTTTATTTCATAGACTGTCAAATCTGGAATGTCCACAGGAAATGACTTATGCTTCTGAGCACATGCTCTGTGATCCAGAACTTTTTGTAACATATCAATGAATGATGATAACAACAGTTGCCTTGTGGTGGCTGTGAGGCTTTAGAAGTAATTATGTAAAGTATTTAACACATAGTAGGTGCTCAATAAATTATAACTACTGCTTTGACATATAATCTCAGCAACATTTGGAGCAAGGCTTTTTATCCTTATTTAATAGATATGAAATCTGAGGCTCAGGGAAGCTGAGAAACTTGATTTTGGTCATGAAGTTATCAAGTGGTGAAACAGAGGAATACTTGGCTCCCAAATCTTTGCTCTGTCACAGAATGCTCCTCCTGGCCTCAGCCCTTTGCATGCACCTTATTCCCAGTATGCTATAACTTCCCTAGTCATACTTGAATCCCCTGTCCTATGACCACTACTTTTCTCCCTCTCAGCCCCTCTCACCCCTTCTCCTTTCCCCTCTTTGTTCAGTTATATTTCATTATTGATTTAATTTTTTCTCTTTTAGGGTTCCCTGTACTCCCATCTTTGACTCCACTGATATAAATTTCTTTTTCGTTCTAACTCCTTTCCAGTCTTTCTAGCAAATGCTTCCTCTTCTTTCATCTTTCATATTTGCCTTTCTAGGTAATTTTGAAATATTTTTTCTATCCTCCTTCCCCCTTTGCCATACTCTACTCTGTTTTAAAAATCCCTTTTATTCAGGCCACCTGACTGAGGCAGCCTAATGTAGTTGAAAAAGCCAGAGGCCCAAGAGGCTGGTTGATTTTGGTTTAGAAGTCATCTTTGCTATTTCTCTATGGAGTCAAGTCACTTTATAGTTCCTACTAGGTCTTTTGTTTTCTCATTTGTGAAATGGGGAAAGTAGTACCCACTTCTCAAGATCATTGTGGGAATTAAATGAGGTCATGTGTATGAAACTGTCTGGCACATATGAGGCTCTGTTGAATGTCATAAGTAAATCCAATCATCTTATGGATCTCACCCACTGTTTTCCACTCCAGCCTCATGTCCCATAATCCCCACCACCACCACCACCACTTGATTCCAACCATATTGATCTCTTTTCTCTTCCTGAAATACTTCAAGCTCTTGTTGCCCCAGCATCTTCAAATGGACTCTTTCTTCTGTCTGGAGAGACTTTCCTCAGTCTTCACTAGCTATCTTTTACTAGTCTCTAAGTTTTGCTAATCAAAACACTTTCCCTAACATAACCACCCACCCAGGCTAAGTTAGCCTCTTGCTGTACTCTCTGTTACATCCTTTCATATTTCCTTATAGCCATTTTAATTGCACTCATTCCATATTTTAATAATTGTCCATTTATTAGAGCATTTTCTTGATGCGTATGTTCCTTACTAGATTGGGAACTCCCAGATATCAAAGACCAACTGTGTCTTGCTTACCGCAGTGTGCACACCAGCTAGTACAGTAACCTACATAGGGTAGAGATGCAAAATAAGTATTTTGCCAATGAACCATCACATATTTATTGAATTTTTACTGAGACAGGCACTGTTTTCACACTAGCTGCACTTTCACAGAGAATTTAAATTTTAAAACAAAAACCTCCCCGCCCCCTCTGTCTGTCAATTCTTCCTTCCCTTCTTCCTTTCCTTTCCTTCTTTCTTTCCTTCCATCCTCCTTTCTCAGCTTCCCATGATTCAAGTAATGTTTTTTAACAGTCTTTCTTCTTAAGCCTCCAGATGATCTCTAGAACATAAATAAACTCTAATTGTGGAAAAGAGAGTGCCATCTTCTGCTCCATCTCTGCTCTATCTAAGCTCAATCTTCCATCAATTCTTTTCCTGTCCACGAATCTCCACTATTTGTTTTCTCCTATTTCAATCACTGTCCTCTCGGTAACTCACATTGTCCTTTTGATCCTGCTTTGCTCTCTGCAGCA